GTGTTCCATGATTTGTAGTCATGTCACTCCAATCTCTGCTTCTGTCATCACATGCGTTCTTCCCGTGTGTCTCTGTGTCTCTTGCCTGTCTTATAGGGACACCCATCATATTGGATTAGGACCACCCTAATTGAGCATGACCTAATCTTAAGTTGATTCATCTGCAAAGACCCTATTTCCAAATAAGGTCACATTCACAAGTACCAGGGGTACAGACTTCAACATATCTTTTTGGAGGACACAATCCAACCTATAACAGACGGCTATTAATATTTCCTAAAATTAGTACTCCAATAAACACATTTAGGGAAATGTTATCCCAGGAACTTGAAATGTAGTTAGGATTCACAAACCAGGTACGTGGTAAACTCCTTAGGTCAGGAGTTCTTAATGTGATATCAAGGAGTTCGTGCGCTTGGATGAGAAAAAAAGATTATATCTTTATTTGTACTATCTCTAACTGAAATTGAGCATTTCTTTCATGTATGAGTGTAGACAATAAACCGTAGCAATATCACTTATCCTCATGACTTTGTCACTAACAGAAGTCAGATACTCTCATCTCACACTGCAGTTACTGTGGAAGTCTTGGGATATCATTTATGCTCATTACCATTTCAAAATCACAGTGGTTATGAGACCTGATGCTAGATCTTGTTATTTAATGTGTTAAGAAGGAAATACATATAATACTATAGCACAAATCTCTTCTAATATTTTGATAAGTGTATTTCAACGTCATTGGTTTCCTTTATGTTTTCTTTGATACATTTAAGAACACTTCTGAGAAGAAGCCTGTACACTTCACCAGACAGCCAAAGGCATCCATGGCCCAAAAAAGTTAAGAACCTCTGTCCCCAGTCATGGCCCCCATGACTCGAACAACCCAGCTTCCATAGAAGGGTTTAACTGAGACAAACGCTAGCAGAATCTTTCCATTTTTACAAATAAAAAATTAATAAATAAAGCCAAATATAGATATTATAAAACACTTTATTTGTAAATGAAATACCCAATTAGGGCAAAAATGTAAAAATGAAATATACATAGATACAATAAGGTATCTTATACAATAATCTTCAATTATTGTCACTCTGTATTGATTATAAATAGATCATATTACCAAGGAAAGATTTGTCTAGATATCAGGGTGTAATTTGGAAACTCTTTAGATATGCATAAGAGTATCTGCATAATTTACTAGAAAACACACATTCCTTTTTGTGTTTGTTCAAATGTATCAAATAGTTGAATATATTCAACTATATTCTCTGTGAAAACTGGGAAGTCCTGGGCACACCGGGCTAAATTGCTCAGCTGCATGAATGAGCATGGTCACGTTGCAGCCCAGAGTCTTGGTAGAAGTCATTGTGACTGAAGATTCCCTGGGGCGATGACCCCAGGAGCACTTTGGCCTCCTGAAAGCAGAAGAATGTCAAAAGGCCGGCCAACCAGCTCTGCCTCTGAACAGTCGTGGAACTAGGCTTGTCCCTAATCTTCTGAGCTCTGTGTCCTCCTCTGTGATAAAGGGAGATACCGGCATCTGTCCTGCCTCTCTCGAGGCCGCTGGGAGATTCAGTTGAGACAGATGTAAAAGCACTGTGAACTGTAAAAGCGCTATATGACTATAAAACATAGAATAGTTTAATTTCATGTGGTAACATTAATATGGGTATAAATTGATAGCATTCTCTTGTATTATAAGAAGAAAATTAGCCTGTCCCTTTTTTCCTTTCCCTCCTGGACACTCAAACCCCAGGTCCCCCATCCTTAAGTGCCCAGAAAGGCATTGGAGGTCCCAGCAAGGCTGCAGAGAAGTAAGCCTGGAATGTTGCTAGGCTCTGTTTGCCACATCCTTCCCCTCAAGGTGCCCCAATGCCCTCACCTGCCTCCTCTCTGGCCAGGGTCTCTCGCCTGTGTCCCCTGAGCCTTCGAGCACGGTCTGGGCTGATTGTCTGCTCGGTCCTTCGGAACTTACCATCTTGCAGGCAGTTCACACAGGGTGTGGTCCTCACCACTGGCTGCACATTAGAACCATCTGGGGAAGCTTTCCCTGTCCTTATCTGGGACTTCCAGCCAGACGATACATCAGAGTCTCTGAGGGAAGGCCTGGCCGTCAATATTTTAAAGACACCCCAGGTGATTCGAATGTGCAGCTTGAGTTGAAAGCACTACTTGGGTGTTGCCTGTAGGTCAATCAGAAAAATGGACTTCCTCTTCATCTGTTAGCCAGTGACAGGGTTATCCCTCCCAGAGAGCCTTTGTTTTAACCCAAGCAGCCTTCTTAACAGTCTTCCTAAAGAAATGTTTTTTGCGGGTCCCCCAGCGCACCTCACTCCAGGCCCATACCCATGGCTTCCATCAACCCTCATAGCATTTTTCAGGAGTGTTATCTTCATTTCAGTTGAGAAAGCTGAGGCTGTTCCATCCAGCTGGGAGAGACAAAGCAAGGTTTAAACTGCAGTCATGCACCTTACTTCCCCAGAGCGTCACGGTGCCTTTCTGATGACCAGGCCCCTCCTGCTGAGAATAGTGGCTGGACAGGTCATATTGGATGCTGCACCCCATCTCTGCATTCTGCTGCATTGGGAAGAGGTTTTCTTGGGTTGAGAGAGATATGACTTCTGCCTCCTTGACACCTTCTCACGGCCACTGCTCACGTCTGCTGCTTTGCACATTCATAGGGAAGGATGGAGAAGGACTGTACTCAAGCAGACAGGCACACGGCCCTGCAGCCTGCAAGAACACGCATAACCAAGATCGTTTGCTCTCCACGCACAGTCTTGTGTCTTCCTCAACCTGGGCCCCTCATCTACGTTGTCACAGGGGGCCTGGCACTTCCCTAACAGGCTATTGCCCTGTGTGAGGCTCTGACTTCCCAAGTCTTAGGCAATTGCCATCATGCGGGGATTTGAAAGACCTTATGAAAGGACCCTCCTGTTGGGTCTCACTAGTCTTCCCAGGTCCCTGATGCTCCCAGCTTAAAAGCCACTCCTTTGCCAAATTGTTACACCTCCAAGAGCCCTGTGTTGAAATATTTAATTTCTATGAGGATTTATCCATTTATCCGTTGTCTGATAATACCCGCTCTAGAGCTCTGTGATAAGGCATGAAAGTACCCTGAGGTCTGGAGTCTTAGTTGTGTGCTCTTGGGCAAATTGCTTACCTTCTTGAGGATCAATGCTCTCAACAATGGAATGAAGATTTTCATCTTTTCCTCACATATTTCTACAGGACTGTGGTCAGGATCATTGGAGATAATGGAGAAGAAATTCATTTTTGTACAGCAAAGCCCATTTGACAAGGTGGAAGATAGTTTCATTACTATTATTGGGAAAAAAATGTATTGGTCTGCTTTCCAGTACGGCAGCTCACTGAGAGCGAGGGAGACAAGGAGCATGTCAGTTTCAAGGGGGTGAGTTTGGAGAAAGATGTGCCATCTGTGGAGGTCCCGCTGAGGTCAGGTGCTGCAGTGGGAAGCTCCTGATATCCTGAGTATGACCTCAGAGTCTTGGGGATCTGGAGAAGACAGCCTAAGTGGGGAGGAGAGAAAATGAAGTGGGAAATGCAAGATAACTTCACTCATTTCACATTTTGTCAGGCGCCAGCTCAGCCCACCACTGGGACGGAAGAAACAGCAAACCCCCTACAAGTTCCTGTGTGCACATTTAAGACTCAGCAGGGGGATGGGCCACTGACAAAGTATAATACAGAGCAGCAAGCAGGGCAGGAGACACCCTAAAGGAAAACAAGGAGACAGGCTGTACACTTGGGCCTGGCCTCCTGGGATGGACTGGCTGACTGGGACCAGGCCACCTGGGGTGGGCCCTGGGTGTGGTGGCTGACGGGGCCAGAAGAGCATCCAGCAGGCCCAGCACCCAGGCCTTGGGAAAGTTGACTTGTGCAATGGGGCAGCACCTTAATCTTGCAAACCGGCTGGGTGAGGGCAAGCTCAGTCCAAAGAACTTCCTTCTGTGGGCACCATGTATCCCTTGTGATTAGAGGGATTTGGGCACCTACTTCCTCAGGTGCACCTACTGTGGTCCAGTGGACACAGTACTGGCTGTGGCCCAGGCTCTGCCCCGATTCTCTTCCCAACAGACCTTGTGGCTGTAGGCAAGTCACTTCACCTCTGTGGGCTGCCCTGTTCACTTTTATAAGAAAGACGAGGAGATTGGCCTAGATGACCTCTAGGATCCTTTCCAGCTTGCCATCAGGTTGCTCTATGATCCAAGATTAGTTTCTAAGGAACTCAAGAAACAATATGGCATATATGGCTGGAGCCTGTGGGATAGGGGTTTACATATTTTCTGAAATTATAGAATCTTCACATTAAAAGCAAATACTGAAGTATGTCATGCCTGAAAAAATGAAACAAAGAATTACCCTATGATCCAGAAATTCTACTTCTGGGTATATACCCAAAAGAATTGAAAGCAGAGACTCAGACAATTGCATACCAATGTTCATAGCAGCTTTATTCACAATAGCCAAAAGGTGGAAACAACCCAAGTGTCCACTGAAGAATGAATGTGATATATACATACAATGGGATATTATTCAGCCTGAAAAAGGCAGGAAATTCTGGCACATGCTATAACCTTGAGGACGTTATGCTAAGTGAAATAAGCCAGACACAAAAGGACAAATACGTGTGATTACACTTATATGAGGTTCCTAGAGTAGGCAAATTCATAGAGACAGACAGTAGAATGTGGTTGCCAGGAGCTGGGAGAGAAGGAAATGGGGAACCATTGTTTAATGGGCAGAGTTTCAGTTTGGGATTATGAAAGATTTCTGGAGATGGATGGTGGTGATGGTTGCACAACAATGTGAATGTACTTAATGCCACTGAACTGTACACTTAAAAATGGTTAATTTTATGTTATGTATATTTTATCACAATAAAAAAGCATATACTGGAATATTTATATGTTAATGTTTTTAATTTGGTATACAAAATAGTGGTAATAAAGCATAATATGTGCTTGCTTATAGACGTCTTGCTGGTATGAATGAGACCAATTAATTGAATAATTAACTTAAAAATTCAATTAAAGTCAGGAATTACTAAAATTTGATGCTTCTATACTATATTTTAATTAAACTCAAAATATATAAATCTACATTTATTCACCAATCTTTGGGTCTTTTTCTTTGTATATAGGTTTGCTAAGTGGAGTTCAGCATGGTCTCCCTTGCATAAACCACACCCCAGGTATATCATTTACAAATTCTAGTTTCAGGGTTTTTAATATGGAATGAGATCTTAGAAATACTTGTGAATAAAACTCAATGTAAAATTTTTCTAGATTTCTGTGACTCTTCTCCATTCCCACTTCTTTTATAATTACATTGCCTCATCTAATGCCATATCTCTATCTCTATATCAACATAACTATCCTTCTATATAAATATATTTAAATAACTAATCCTTATGAAGTTTTCCCAAAGCATTCAATGTATTGCATTATGGAAACAAAGTAACAATTACAACCAACCTAAACAGGCTGGGGGACAAATACAATTGTAAGCATAGAACTCAGTAAGAGGGAGCAGAAGTGTGCAGTACATCATAAAATGAGTGAAAAGATAAGCCATAAAGTGGGAGAAGGTATTTGTGACACATAAACTGACAAAGGACTAGGATGACAAATATATAAAGAACTTAACCAAAACTATAAGAAAAAGAAATAACCCAAGAGAAAAACGGGCTTAACAACTGAACAGGCATAAATTCAAAGAGGAAATCCAACTGGCTGATACACGTGAAAAGAGACTCAACGTCATTAGTAGTCAGTAATCAGTAAACGCAAACTGAAACCACAGTGAGGTACCATTACATATGAGATAGGCAGAAACTAAAAATTCTGAAAATGCTAATTGTCAGCAAGGGTTTGGAGCAGCAGGAACTCGGGTGAAAGTCGTAAACTGCTGATATGTCTTTGGAAAGCGGCTTGCTTTATCTAGTGAGATTGATGATACACATACTCCATGGTCCAGCAATATTACTTGTAGGCACATACCCAGAGAAACTTAGGTAAATGTGCAGCAGGGTACACATACATAAAAAGAATGCTCATGCAGCCTCGTTCACCTCAGCTGCGTTGGGAAACAACCCAAGTACTCACCGCCTGTAGAATGGATACATAAATTCTAATATGTTCAAACAGTGAAATACCATATCATAGTAAAAATGGAAAACTTACAGCTACACAAAACAATATAAGTAAACCTTCAAAACGTAATATTGAGTAACAGAAGCGAGACAAAGAATATAATGTGATCACATTTATTTCAGGTTGAAAAGCAGGTAAAGCGAAATCCTGGTATATAATTTGGTGAGGTATACATAGGTGATTATCTTTGGGGGTGTTATGGGCTGAATGTTTGCATCCCCTCCCAAGTCGTGTTGCAGCTCTAACCTCCAATGTGGTGGTATTAAGAGGTGGGGCCTTTGGGAGTTGATTACATTTAGATGAGGTCATGAGGGTGGAGCCCTCATGACGGGTTTATAAGAAGACACACCAGAGAGCTTGCTTCCTCTTCATCTCTCTGTCATGTGAGGACACAGTGAGAAGGCAGCCATCTGCAAGCCAGGAAAGGGTCTCTCACAAGAACCCAACCTTGCTGGCACCCTAATCTCAGACTCCGAGCCTGCAGAAGTGTGGGAAATAAATGTCTGTTGTTTAAGTCACCCAGTATTTTGTTATAGCAGCCCAGACAGACTAATACAGGGGGCTTGGGTGCGTTTGCAATTGCGAGGGGCACGAGAGGGCCTTCTGGGTGCCAACAATGAGCCCTCAAGGAGGGTTACACAGGAGTTCACGTTCTGATTATTCATTAAGCTCTATGTGTATATTTTATTCATGTAAATGTATACAAATTTCAATGAGATAATTTACAATAAAAACGAAAAAGAAGAAGCGTATGGGTGTGCCAGCGAGCAGCTTCTGTGCTGCCCAGCTTCCCGGGCTTTGTGGCATATCTTACGAGGAAACCACAGCAGGGGTTAATCTGGCAAGACGGTCAGGTGGAGCCAGGGTGGAGGAGATGAGAGAGGCATCTGAGAAAATTTTATCTGAGATAAAAATGAAATACTGATATATTCAGGTTGAGAATAGGGGTTCTGAGGGGTTATAGTAACAATTTCTTTTTCATTTTACATTGTTTATTACTAAACCACAATATGACACATTTAATGCATTTTTCTCTTTTGGTGACAGTGCCATTGAGTTCCTTCTCTGGCCCAGTCTGTATTTGGGAGAAAAATAAACATTTTCTAGGTATTTATTGGTGTAATTTGAATAAAGGAAGAGAAAGGAATTGCATTCAGAAATAATCTTACCACAATACATAAAGTATAATAAAGGGATGTAATCTCACAAAATATCCAAAGCCTACCTCTACTTCCAAAATGATTCTGTAGAACCTTGGCAAGCTCTCACAGAAGCCTGGGCTTCTTGCAATGGAGTTTGAAAATCTCTGTGATGAAGTGGCTCAGCACCGGGAGTGTGGGGAGAGAAAGGGATGCTGAGTAATTCCTTACTCTGATAACACATCCTTCACAACTTCATCATAGCTTTGCCGTATCTTGGAGCTGTTGACTTGTGGGTCTGAGGACTGCGAGATACTTAGAGAAGAAGAACTGCTCTCTCCTCCACTCCCTGCCCTGGCATCCAAACACAGCTCTCTTTCATTTCATTTGTGTTCAATATGTGTTTGTTGAATTAAATTCTTGAAAGCATCCAAATGGAGGTCAAAGAGCTTTGGGGATTCAGAAGAATGAGACTTTCTAAGGGATTATTTCTGACTGGAAAATGGAGGCAGACTTCATGAAAGAGAAGGCAGCTGAGCTAGGCCTTGAAGAATAAACAGGAGCTGGGGATGAGCTTCGATTTGAGAGAGGAGGTTGCAAAGGCATAAGGCAACAAGGACAAAGCATGTTTAGAGATTGGAGTGATGCTTGTTTGGCTGAGTCTGTGGAAAATTAGAGGGAGAGAGTTAAGTCAAAGTGGAATTGAGGAGGTTTGTGTTAGAACCAGAGATAGTGCACTTTGCTTCATAGGCAATGAGGAAGATGAATGATTTTGAAACAAAGGTTAGTCTGGTGGCAGAATACATGCTGGATTGAACAAATGACCCGCTGGAGCCAAGGGAATGAGTTAGGCGTCTTGTGTAAGAGATCTAGGAAGGAGGTGAGAAGGGCCAGACAGATAGAGCTGGGAGAGCAAATGGAAAGTAAGGGGTGATTGATGCTCGAAGAAAGAAAAAGCAGCTATTAGCTACAGACTAGATTGAGGGGTCCAGGTGGGGACAGAGATGGCTGAGGTTTTCGAGACCCAGCGGTAAGGAGTATGAGGGTGCCATGAGTGGTAAAAGAAGCTGGTGTGTGGGGGCAGATAATAAGCTGTTTCCCACTTGCTTGGTTTGAGGTGCTGGTGGGACATCTAGGTGGAAACATCCTGCAGCTGGAAATTTGGAACTGGAGGCCTGGAAAGAGGTTGGGGCTGGAGCGACAGATTGAGGAGGTAACGGCCTGGAAGTGAGCCCTGGATGTGGACTGGCCCCAGAGGGAAGAGTGTGGAGCAAGAGAAGAAGATAAGATTTGGTGAAGGAGCGTGTTTAGGAAAAAGGAAAAACAAAACATCATGAGCCAGAATCAAAGGATCACATACAATTTTGTCATTTGGTAGGTGAAGAAATTATTTGGCTTTTGGTTCTGTCTATTGAACTCTACAATTTCCATAGCCAAAGCCATTTATGTTTCAATTCAGGATTGGGCCAGTCTTAGGCTCTGTGAGTAAACCCCTCATTTCTGTTTTATTTTTCTTCTTTATTGTGAAATTTTTGTTGTACATTATTGTTTGTCAGTCATCATATAAATGCACCTCTACACCCTTTGTGTCAACCCTCCACCCCCCTTGCCCCTGGTAACGACCAAACAGTTCTCTCTGTCCGTGTGTTGGTTTATCTTCCACTTATGAGTGGAATCATATGGTGTTTGTCATTCTCTTTCTGGCTTATTTAATTTAACACAATACCCTCCAGGTCCATCCATGTTGTTGCAAATGGGACGATTTTGTCTTTTCTTATGGCCGAGTAGTATTCCATTGTGTGTGTGTGTATATATATATATACCACATCTTTATCCAATCACCAGTCAAGGGACACTTGGTTTGCTTCCATGTCTTGGCTATAGTGAATAATGCTGCAATGAACATAGGGGTGCATAAGCCTCTTTGAATTGCTGATTTCAGGCTCATTGGGTAGATACCAAGTAGTGGGATAGCTGGATCATAAGGTACTTCTATTTTTAATTTTTTGAGGAATCTCCATACGAATTTCCATAGAGGCTGCACCAGATTGCATTCCCCCCAGTGAATTAGGGTTCCCTTTTCTCCACAGCCTCTCCAACATTTGTTTTTTTTGTCTTGGTGATTAGAGCTATTCTAACAGATGTAAGGTGATATGTTAGTGTGGTTTTGATTTGCATTTCCCTGATGATTAGTGATGTTGAACATCTTTTCAAGTGCCTATTGGCCATCTGTATATCTTCTTTGGAGAAGTGCCTGTTCATTTCCTCTGCCCATTTTTTAATTGGATCGTTTGTTTTTTTGTTGTTCAGTTGTGTGAGTTCTTCATATTTTATGGAGATTAGTCCCTTGTGGGATATATGGTTTGTAAATGTTTTTTCCCAGCTAATGGGTTGCCTATTCATTTTGATTCTGGTTTCATTTGCCTTGTAGAAGCTCTTTAATCTGATGAAGTGTCACTTGTTTATTTTTTCTTTTGTTTCCCTTGTCCGAGTAGACATGGAATTCGAAAAGATCCCTTTATGACCAATGTCAAATAGTGTACTGCCTGTATTTTCTTCCAGGAGTTCTATGGTTTCAGATCTCACCTTCAGGTCTTTGATCAATTTTGAGTTAATTTTGTGCGTGGCGAAAGAAGATGGTCTATTTACATTCTTTTGCAAGTGGTGGTCCAGTTTTCCCAGCACCATTTATTGAAGAGACTTTCGTTTCTCCATTGTGTGTTCTTAGCTCCTTTGTCCAAGATTAGCTGTCCGTAGATGTGAGGTTTTACTTCTGTGCTTTCAATTCTGTTCCATTGATCTGTGTGTCTATTTCTGTACCAGTACCATACTGTTTTGATTACAGTAGTAATCACTTTGTAGTATGTTTTGAAGTCAGGGACTGTGATGCCTCCAGCTTTGTTCTTTTTTCTCAGGATTGCTTTAGCTATCTGGGGTGTCTCATTGTCCTATATGAATTTTTAGTATTTTTTGTTCTATTTCTGTGAAGAATGTCCTTGAGATTCTGATTGGGATTGCAGTGAATCTGTAGATTGCTTTAGGTATTGTGGACATTTTAACTAAGTTAGTTCTTCCAATACATGTGCATGGAATATTTTTCCATTTCTCTATGTCATCACTGATTTCACTCAATAATGTCTTATAGTTTTCATTGTATAGGTCTTTCACTTCCTTGGTTAAATTTATTCCTAGATATTTTATTCTTTTTGTTGCAATTATAAATGGGACTGTCTTCTTGAGCTCTCTTTCTGTTAGTTCATTGTTGGCATATAGAAATGCAACTGATTTCTGTAAGTTGATTTTGTACTCTGCAACTTTGCTGTAGTTGTTAATTATTTCTAATAGTTTTCCAATGGATTCTTTAGGGTTTTTTATATATATTATCGTGTCATCTGCAAACAGTGAGAATTTTACTTCTTTGTTGCCTATTTGGATTCCTTTTATTCCTTTTTCTTGCCTAATTGCTCTGGCCAGAACCTCCAGTACTGTGTTGAATAAGAGTGGCAAGAGTGGGCACCCTTGTCTTGTTCTCGTTTTCAGAGGGATGGCTTTCAGTTTTTCCCCGGTGAGTATATTGTTGGCTGTGGGTTTGTCATATATGGCCTTTATCATGTTGAGGTACTTTCCTTCTATATCCAGCTTTTTGAGAGTTTTTATCATAAATGGATGTTGGATCTTGTCAAATGCCTTCTCTGCATCTATTGAGATGATCGTATGGTTTTTATCCCTCGTTTGGTTAATGTGGTGTATCACATTGATTGATTTGCGGATGTTGAACCATCCCTGTGTCCCTGGTATAAATCCCTCTTGATCATGGTGTATGATCTTTTTAATGGACTGCTGTATTTGGTTTACCAATATCTTACTGAGGATTTTTGCATCTATGTTCATCAGGGATATTGGTCCATAGTTTTCCTTCTTAGTATTGTCTTTGTCTGCCTTTGGCATCAGGGTAATGTTGGCCTCATAGAATGTGTTGAGAAGTGTTCCATCTTCCTCTATTTTTTGGAATAGTTTGAGAAGGATAGGTATTAAATCTTCTTTGAATGTTTGGTACAATTCTCCGGAGAAGCCATCTGGTCCTGGACTTCTACTTTTTGGGAGATTTTTGATTATTGTTTCAATCTCTTTACTTTTAATTGGTGTATTCAGGTTCTCTATTTCTTCTTGATTCAGTTTTGGGAGGTTGTATGAGTCTAAGAATTTATCTATTTCTTTTAGATTGTCCCATATAGTTTTTCATAGTATTCTCTTATAATCCTTTGTATTTCTTTGGTATCCTTGGTAATTTCTCCTTTTTCATTTCTAATTTTATTTATTTGAACCTTCCCTCTTTTTTTCTTAGTGAGTCTGGCTAGGGGTTTG